AGCTCCTATCAGGAAGCCAGCACAAGCTTCTCCACGAGACAGCAGAGAACCATCGTGCCCTCCGGAGCCAGGAAATGATGCTCCGAGTGAAGGACCAGAGCTCCCCCAAAGTGAACGTGAGCCATAGCAATTCCCTGGGACAGGGTCCTGAGTTTCTTCAACAGTGAGAACAGCCAGCTTCATCAGGAAAGCCAGCATGAGAAGATCCTCCAAGAGAAGGAGCAGCAGCCCCACGAACGCCAACAGCTCTAACACCTGCCAACGGCTTCTAACTCCTTCCTCTCCAGTCCTGCCCCTTATGCTGCCAGCAACAGTCCTCAGGGGGCCTGCCACACCCAGCACCGTGCTGGTTGAGTTCATCTGGGTGTTACAAGCTGACCCCCAGTTATCAATCCATCACAGCTTCTAACTGTGGAGGCTGGGAACTCCGAGAGCAGTTGCCCTCATCCGTGGTGGAGGCAGGAGGGGTGACATCTAGTGGGTCTGCCAAGGAGGAAGATCAAGGGGGCAGCAGTCCTGTCCCTAAGAAAACTAGCTCAGCCCCTCGATAGTCACAGTCATTCCTTGTGAGAACAGAGAGCCCCAAGGCCCAAGCCCTGCCCAAGGTCCCGCCTCTCCACCCACAACACCTACTCCAGTGCCCGTGCATTGCAGCAGAAGCCTAGAGGACACTGGGACTGCAGCAGCTCAGTGATAGCAGCTGAGGTGTGCTGTCGGCCAGCAGGGAGCTGAAGGAGCCTGGAACGAAGGTGTGGGGTAGTGTCGCCACGGGACAGAGCGACGTGGTCTGTGACAGCCCACATGAGACACGGGAGAGCATGGTGCGCATCAGGGTGCTCTCTCGTCCTCCGTCTCACCAGCCCTACGTCCCAGCTTTGTGGCCCATCACTGGGCTGAACGGACAGCTCTGATCACATCTGCCCTGCCACAGTTGGGGGTGGACCCCTCTGTTGGGCCAGTACCAAGTCGCCATTTGGGTTTTCTGAAAAGCTGATTCTCAGGCAAGAGCTTGAGTGAATAGTTTGCTTGGGACAGAGCCCAGAGGATGCCTGCAGAGAAGGGGCACGAGGCAGGAAGGAAGCCAAGGAGTGCTGTAGAGCCCCCAGGCACGCTCCAGCCTGGCCAAGGCCTCGGCCTGCTGGGGCCATCCGGGGACTGCACAGTCTGCCTCGGAATTGTCTGGACATGCAGGCAGAGGAGGCAGGGTATTTATGCAGCCACGTGTCTGCATCAAGGCTGAGCTGGGAGGGACGGGCTGCAGACAACCCGGCAGCCCTGCAGGGCAACTACAAGAAGGAAAGTTGTCACCTTAGTCACTATGACTGGACAAGAGAGTCTAGCTCCAACTGCCACCCCAGCCTGGCCATTTGTGGAGGGACAGGCAGACCAGTGCAGGCAGGGCTAAGAACTCTGCGGTCCCTGTGCAGAGTCCACAGCAGCTCATGGAGAGGCTGGGGAGCCAGACCAAGGCCTCAGAGTGAAGGGGCCACACCCAACCTGGAGAGCATGGCGCCCGGCAGCCTGGCCCTGGCCTGGGGGCCCTTAGTGGGCTGCCATGTGCCAACCCACGTCTGGGTCACAAGGGCAACCCTACTACCTGCACCAATGGGAACTATAGGTAAAGCCTTTGTGGCCACCCAGGACTGAGCCAGGAAGAGCCACATAGCTTTTAACCAGCCTTCCCCCGCTCCTTGCCAAGGGCCATTCAGCATTCCTACCACCTCTGGTCTGAGCCCTGTGTGGGGCACAGGTGCTGTGACCAGAGGAAGCCCCAGGCCAGCTGCCCACCCAGAGATGTGGGGGGGGAGGAGATAAGGGCAAGATGTGCACGGGGTGTGCTGCGGTGCAGGTGCAGACAGGAAGGTGTCACCTCCGAGGACAGGGACGAGGAAGCCTGAGTCCCTGCCCGGTGTGTGTGAATTGCCATTATTATTCTCCCCCAGGAGAATAGTGGCCAGCACCATGTTTCTGCCATTGTCTTGTCCTCAGCTTCCACATGCCTGGCACACAGCAGGTGGTCATGGACACCTTGCCTGGGGAAGGAAGAGCCGCCTGAGGAGAAGGACTGGACCTCGCAAGATGCCTGCACACGCACTCGCTCTGACTGTGTGGCTGAGGAGGAGCCACGCAGGCACGGGGTCTGTGCCAGGGAGGCGTCTGGGGGACCACAGAGGTCTTACTTTCTATGGGAAGAGTTCTACCTGGAGTTTTGCTTTCCATACTGGAGGTTGAATCCAGGGCCTTTGTGCTGAGCTATATCCCCAGGCTTTAAAAAAAAAATTAATTTGCAACAAGGTCTTAACAAACCTCAGTTTCCCAGGCTGGCCTGGAGCAGGCCTCAGCCTCCCGGAGGGCTGACCCTCCAGGTGGGTGCTTCCCAGCCTCTGGCTGCCAGGAAGGGAAGTCCCAGCCACTCTGAGCTGGTCTACACTCAGGGTCCCCCAAGGAGCCCAAGCAAGCTGGAATATGTGGGCTTCTCTTTGCTGTTTTTGCTGTGCTGGGATAGAACCAGGGCCTCTCGCAGCGCAGGCCACTCTCACTGGCCCTGAGCCACTCCAGGCCCCCACGGCTTAGTGGGGTTTTGTTTTTCTTCTTCCTTTGAGGAACTGGGGATTGAACTCAGGCCCTTGCGCTTGGCAGGCAAGCGCTTATTCTACTGAGCCATCTCCCCGGCCCCTCACTTGGGTTTCTTCTTGGTGAGCGCCCCTCGCTGAGTACCAAGACCAGCCTTGCTGTGCTGTGGGCGTGGTCTCCCTATGCTCCTGCCCCACCTGGCTGGCAGGTGGGTGGCTGGAGCAGCCTGTCCTGGAGAAGGCCACTGCTAGTGAAGGGGCAAACACCAGCTGGCAAAACCCAGGTGTCGCCACGCTCAGGCTCCGGAGAGGCCTTTGCACGTAGCGGAGCCGGGACACCCTGGGTGCACCGTCACCGTCCCTGCAGCCAGCTGCCTGGGAGCTTCCCCAGCTCCCTGCTTCAAGTTCTGCAGGGTGAGGGGGAGCTGCGGGGTGGCCCTGGGACCTGGCTGAGGCCCTGCACTCTGCTTCCCACTGGAGTGTGACTCTGGGGACCTGGCCCCCCTCTTCTCATTTGGAACCAGAAGCACTGAGGTGAGGCTCACCCACCCTACGAACAGGGGCCACGAACCCTTGACGCAAAGTGCTGCTCTGTGAATCCCACGTGCCCCAAAGCGGGGGCTGCAACCCCACAGCACATGCAGGGGAAACAAGGTGCTCTCCCAGCAGCACACTCTTCTCAGTTTCCGGACAGTCATGCAGGGGACCCTGATGCCCAGCATGGCGGTTGCTCCTGTCTAAAGGCTGCGAGGATTACTTGATGCCTGGGCTTGTTTTCCTTCCCAGCTCTGAATTTGAGGCCTGTAATGAGCTCACCCAGAAGCCCTGGTGCATTTCAAGGCTCAGGTCAGCCAAGGAGGCCCACAGTCCGGACCCCAGCAGGGAAGGAGCTGGAGGCTCAGTCCAGTGGAAACGTCTGTGGGCTGCCGCCTCCTCCAGCACCCGCGGTCCTGCCTCATCTGAGTGGCTGTGGGACATGCGGCCTGGGTGTGGATCGGAGGCCGCTCGCTGGCTGTGTTTAGAGAACACATCACTGCCTCCAAAACAGGAAGGCATGGCTCTGCTCCCTGGCCTGGGCGGTGCACACCAGAAACTAGATCAACACAACGTGGGCACCGGAAGTGACCGCAGACATTGCCCAGGGTGATGCTACCTGTTTACTGGGTCGGCCCCATGCCTGGAACACCATGCTCCTTTCCCTGTGCCTGCGGTCGGCATCTTTGGCTGCTTGTCGAGGGACTATGCGGGCGCCTGGCCCTATCCTGGCCCTCCCTCAGGGCACAAAGCTTCCGGCCATGCTGCTGGAGCTCTCTGAGCCTCGGTTTCCCCACCCAAAAACAGGTTTTCCATGGCAAGCGCCAGTAGAGACACTTGCAGCATTCACCAGTGATGGCGAGGCACAGAGAGCTACAGGGCAAGCTTGGGGCTGGTGGACCCTCACGGTGCACCTGGCATCTGCTTTGGCTTTCTGAACTAGGGGTACCTATGACTCCACTGCATGTGTGAGGAGAGACTGGCTCCCTGGGATCCGGATGGTGCACACCATAACCAGCACTTGGGGAGGCTGGGGTAGGAGGATCGCAAATGCCACTCTGGGTCAACCAATTTAGCAAGACTGTCTCAAGAATTTAAAGGAAAAATTAAATTAAAGGACTGGAGATGCAGCAAAGGTGCTGGGTTTAATTTCTGAGGAAGAGGAGGAGGAAGAGGAAAAGGAGCAGGAGGAGGACAACAAAAGAAGTTGGCATGAGGCCACATGAGGCAGGGGGCTCACTCCGCACCCCACACCCTGGCATCTGAGTGCGGCTCCCTCCTGTAGTTGCTGTGGCCCCAGCACACACAGTCACCATCTGGGGAGCCAGCCCTTTTCTTGTCCACTTCTTGGGGCTGTGTGGGGCCTCTGAGAGGCTCACACACCCTGGCTGCGGGTGCAGCCTCCAGACCAAAGGCCCTGTGGCTGGGGGCAGGTGGTGCCGGGTCAGAGGCCGGACCCTGGTGGCTGATGCCAGCCATCCTGACTGCAAGCTGGAAAGAATGAGTTTGGTGGATGTCCAACCACGAATTCTGCTCCATTAGATGAGCCTGCTTTAAAGTTGGCCCCTCTATGTGGGCAGAGTGGCCAGTGCTGGCCCCAGACCCGCTGGCCGTGGGGGCCCTCCCCTCCCCCACCCTCCCCAGCCTGCTCCCAGAGGAGGCTGCCGCAGCTGTGCAACAGCGAGCTGCTCCCTCCCAGGAGCCCCCACCCCAGGCCCGTCCTCTCACCAGACAGACCCTAGGGGTGGGGGCTGCTGGTGGGCGTGCCGGACGCCCTCCTGCCAGTTGGACCCCTGGCCTTGGCCCCACAGGAAGCAGAGGCGGGAGCTGGCCCTGGCCCTCCCTCAGCCCAGGCCTTTATAAAGGGGTGCAGTGCCTGCGGGAGCCGGCACCATGGAGCCCCTCACGCCAGCCCTGCTCCTCCTGCTGCTCCTTGCCTGGCCTCCCGCAGCAAGGCCTGCACCTCCGACCTGCTACTCCCGGATGCTGGGCCTCAGCCGGGAGATCACCGGGGACTTCCAGCTCCTGCAGACTGCGGAGCCAGCGGTGAGTCCCAACTGCAAAGCCAGCTCGTGGAAGCTTGGCTTCCACGCCTGGTAGCACACGCCTGCAAGCGTAGCTGCCTGCTGCAGAGGCTGAGCAGGAGGGCTGCTTGCGTCCAGCTTGGGCGATTTAGGGAGACCCTAGCTCAGGTTTGTTTTTAGAGGTTGGGGATTAGGGATGTAGCTCAGCAGCAGAGAACAGAGCACCCCTGCACCCCATCCCCAGTGCAGAAGGGAGGGAGGGAAGGAAGTTTTTAATAGGAGAAAAAGGCATTAAAGGTACAAGTTTTATTTGATTTGCTATCAAATATCAGAGAAGCCTTTGTGGAATATGTAAAAGCTGAAGAGAAAGTGAAGGAAAAGATCAATTCCTACCCACCCCAAACCCGAGAGTTAATGAGTTAAGTTACACAGTTAGGCTTTACTTAGCCCCTCCTGAGCTGGTGAACTGTGAGCTGCCAAGTGCTAAGTGCCAGGGGTACCAGGGCCGGCCTCCACCCTGACCTCCTGAGCAACTGTGGGGAGAGTGGAGCGTGGGGGTCTCCTCAGCTCCCATATGAGTTTCTCTCCCTGTAAAATAGGGTGACAAGAGCACCCACCCTCGTCCCAGGTATGCCAAGCCTGCTGCTCAGCTCGGAGCACAACCCAGGGGCTCTGAAGGGGAAGCCCCAGCGGGACAGCTGTGGCCCAGAATCTAGGCCTCTCACTGTTTATCCAGAACAGAATAGAAGTGAAAGCCATTAGCCTTTATTAAGATCTCAGGTAGAACTTAAAACTGTCTCTCAACTATCTGTGAAGGCTTCAAACAGGACCTGGTGCTTCACAGATGCTGGGGCTTGCAGTACCCCGACATCCTCTTTATATTTTTTTTTAACAAGTTAAAGAGCATGCATTTATGTCTCGTTATAAAGGTAATACAGGGTTGAGGATGCACAAAGGACAAAGAAGAAAGTGGCCTTGCTTGTCATGCTGCCACTCCGGAGGCCAGGGGATGGCATTTCCGCTTCCTGTCTAAGGGGAAGTGGTCGAATGTATGCCAGAGGAGATGCGGGGTGCAAATCGGACCAAAAGGCACATGCAGGCTCGCAGCCCTTTGCTGGATAGCTACACTGCTCAGCCCCAACTCCTTGCTGCCCAATACACAGAGTGCTCATCTTTTAAAGGAATATGATTTTAGAAGGCAAACAAAACAAAAAAAACAACAAAAGTATAATAGATTCAGAGTGGCAGGGCTGGAAGGAAGTGGGAAGATTACGTATTCTACCTCTTTAATTTCACAGCTGAGAAACTGAGTCACTGCAAAGGAAGTTCTTTGCACGGGGTCACACGGAATTATCCTGGATAGGCATGCAGTCTCCTGGCCTCGAATCCTCCAAGACACAAAACCTAGAATGCGGCAGGGTAGCAGCGTGTGGGTAGATGCTCCTGTAGGCTCCACTGTTCTGTTGTTTACCAAATCTGAGCTGCACTTAAGCACTTAAAGAAGTTATACAAGTAATATAAATCACATATATTTGTTACTACATTTTACATATAAGTACATCTAGCTGCATGAACTTGCACACTGCCGTATAAGAAACAACTAGAAAAGTCTTATATGGGTGTGTAAACACAACACAGTACTATGCTGTCCATTACTGTATTTCTGTGTGTGTGTGTGTGTGTGTGTGTGTGTGTGTGTACAGAGTGAAACACAGTGCTCTACTGCACCGTAAATACTAGAAGAGCTGAGCTCTAAAAGTTGGTTCCTGCAAGAGCAGTTGCCCATTTGGGGTACGTGTGACCCTGTGGATGTTGTCATATCAAGAAGGGTCTGGGACCCGGCTGGGCTGGCTGTTGACCACGCTGCCATGGTGACCTCTGGGACCAGGCCAAGCACGTGCCCCTGTGAGCACCCTAGTAACATGAGTCTTTTCTGCAGGAGGCCTGTGTGCAGTACCTGCCCCATCTGTACCTGGACATCCACGTAAGATACTCTGCCTGCGGGGAGGGACATGGGGCAGCCTGAACCTGGGCTGCAGACGGACGCTGGAGCTGGGAACGGGAGCTGGGTCTGGTCTGTGCAGGAGGAGGGAACTCAGTGCCTGCCCCTGGATGCTGACATCCCCCCCTTGCTGCCGCCCATCCCAGAATTACTGCGTGCTGGCCAAGCTGCGTGACTTCGTGGCCTCGCCACAGTGCTGGAGAGTGGCCCAGGTGGACGCCCTGAAGGACAAAGTGCGGAAGCTCTACACCATCATGAATTCCTTCTGCAGACGGGTGCGTGTGCCCTCAGCGAGCCTTCTCTGCTCTCTGCCAGGCAGGATGAGCTGGGCTTTGGGGCAGGTGCTGGGTGGAACCAGGGAGGAGCCAGAGGCTTAGGAGCCCCTTCTTGTCCAGTAAGTCTTTGAGCTCCCCCAAACCCTTGCTGAGATGAGCATTAAGGAAAGGTCCCTCACGTCCAGGAGCTGCACAGGGACATGGGGCCACCCTCAGGGTGTGTGGGGCAGGCCAGCAAAAATTTCCTGAGGAGCAGGGTCTTTGGGGCTCTGTGATCCAAGGTTCTGGCAGGTGAGGGGACAAGGACAGAAAGCCCTGTGACCTCAGGCCCAGACTCCAGCTGCAGGTGCCTTGCACTGTGTGCTTTCTTCCTATTCATGATGAGGAGCAGTCTCCTCATACATGGACTGGGGTCAGAACAGAAGCCACCTCCTGACGTTGCTGGGAGGATGATGGCGACCCCACCTTCCAGTGTGCCATCGCTGGCATAGATGTCTCCATGCTAAGGTGCCCTGCAGGGTAACCTGGCCTAGAGCTCCTAGTAGCCGTGGCCACAGCAAACCCTTTCCAAATGTTTAATCATTAATCATGAGGTTTTCATTTCTTTGTCCTTGTAATAAAGTTTGCTTCTGTGCTTCCTCCTGAGCCCTGACCCTTTTCTTGCCCTTCTCTCCTTGGTCTGTGAGCATAGCAGTCAGCATTCCCACACTGTGACACAATTCCTGACACCCGCAAATTAAAGGAGGCAAGGCTCATAGGCTTATGGTTTCAAAGGCTGTGGTCTGCTGGCCCCAAGAGAGGAGCGTCATGGTGGAAGGGTGTGTGGGGCAGAGGTGCTGAGCTCATGGTGCCTCGGGAGCAGAGCAGGGAAACAGCCAGAGAGGAAGCGGCGAGGAGCGGCCCCAGCGCCCTGGCCAGGCAGGCACGCCGAGAAGTGTGTCTGCAGAGCCGCCAATCCCGAGTAGATCTCCAAACCAATCAAGTTGACATTCATCCCTAAGCACCATGGCAGGAGAAGAAGACAGGGGAAGGCAACACAAGAGCGATACAGCCCAGCAAGGGGGGTGCAGTCACTGCGAGGGACCAAAGGCGAGAATAATGCTGCTCTGCAGTGTCCCCAGTGCTGGTCCTGAGTTGCTGTCAGTAATCAGGGTGAATCATTCATTCATTCATTCATTCACTCACTCACTCACTCACTCTCCTGCCCATTTGGCCACCTACTCATGTGCTTAACCAGCATATGACTCAATCCCCTGAGTAAAAATATTAAGAACATAGGAGAGCCTATGGGGATGTGAAGAAAGAGGGGACCGGCTCTCCCTCGGGAGTCGGAGGGGGGAGGTGCTCACACAGCAGGAACCTTTGGATGGTGCAGGGAGGACCAAGGCCTGTACTCAGACCTGGCTCCACCCTCAGGAGCAGCCTGCTCACCAAGCCTCTCTTGCAGGACCTGGTCTTCCTGGCAGATGACTGTAATGCGTTGGAATACCCAACCCCAGTGACCACCAGCCCTCCAGGTCACCCGAGATGAGAACCCAGGCCAGAAGAACAACCCAAGAGGCGGGGCTGTGCCTGCTGCAGGCCCCGCCCACAGCCCCGCCCCCTTCCTGTAGTGTCTGAATCCTCATGCGTCTGTCCCTTCTGGAAAGCAGGGCAGGGCTCCCACCCGGAGCCTCCTTGGCGCACAGCTCGGCTCCACCTTGCCAGGGTGGCTAGAGGTGCCAGAGAAGAAAGCTCAGCGGCTTCTCCTTTATGAACAAAGAGCTGAAGAACAAGCAGACGAGCACGTCCTCCTTGCTGCTTTGCTGGCAGAATGGTGCTCTTTTCTTGCTTGCTAGAGACCTGCTTACACTCAACCAAGCCTCTACTTTGTATTTTACCTCTCCCGACACTTTCCTTCCTTCCTTTGATTTTTCAAGAAACCTTACTACTGCTTTTGAAATGTATCTGCAGTGCTGACAGAAAGCACTCTTTCATAGAAAGGTGGCGAGAATCAAATAAAGACTGTTTGCACAGCGGGAAATCTGTGCCCCGCTGTGTTTGTCCGGGGTGGGTGTCACATGGCTCCTTCCACGCTTTTCCTGGAAGCTTCCGGGCGTCCCATGCCACATCTCTCTCCTGGTGTCTGTCAGGCGCAGATGGCTGGCTGTGTTTCACCCCACCTGCCCTGAATGTCTGCTCCCAAATTGTCTGGCGATGCTCCAATTTTTGCCAGGGACAGATTGTTCCTTTGGGGAGTAGATGCTGGGGACAGATTGCTTTGTGTCTGCGGGCAGAACAGTGCCCTGTATCAGTCATAACTCTCAGCTATTTGGCTGTGAATAAGAAGGATGGGTCCCGGGAGGTGGGGGCCCCAGGAAGTGCAGGGGCTTGGGCAGCCCCAGGCCACTGGCCAGCAAGTCGAGAATCTGGGATGGAACCCAGCCTGTGTGACCCCCACGCTTGGCTCTGTGAGCACCCAAAACTGGATCCCTGCAGTAGAAACATGCCCACCTAGTTCATTTATGAACCCAACAGCAGAACCGCAGCTGAGCAGCCCGGTGGCTGAGAAGCACTTCCAGCACCGATGCTGCCAGGTTGCGTGCGCTCCGCCAGGATCTGTTTCCTGTCCTCCCGGTGGCACGCAGGGGCCAGGCTCCTCCTCCTGCATCCCAGCCCATGTGCGAGAGGATTGGTTAGGTTTCTCTTTTCTGTTTAGAAGCGCAGGTCCACAGAATCAGGCATTAGAGTCTGGCGAGGCCACGATGGGACACATCGACTGGGTGGTTTCGAACATGTGCTGCTGGGTTTCACAGCCTGCAGGCCGAAGCCCTGGCTCTGCATGGAGCTGCTGGCAGAGCCGCGCATCCTCTGAAGTTTTGCATCTGGCCCCTCCTCCCTCGCTTCTCCCAGCTTCTGTGTCTGGGCACATCCTTTGCTCCTTGCTGTTTCGGTAGTCACTTCTGTGCCTGTCAGCTCATGGTGCTTTTCCTGGATCTGCCCCCTCCGTCCCTCTTCCTACAAGGCACCCACTGTGAGGTAGGCTGCACCCCAGTCTGGCATAGCCACATTGTTATGCTTTGGTGCTGGGGATGGAATGGAGGGCCTTCTACATGCCAGGCAAGTGGTCAACCACTGCGCTACAGCCCCATGACTGCGCCCAAAGCGGGTAGCAACTGCCCAGACTCTACGACCAGTAAGGTCACTGGTAAGGTCACATGTGCAGGGATGAAGACTTAGGACTTTAACTGACATTTTTGCAAGACCCAGTATGACCCACAGTCATCACTCTTTTAAGAAATAACCTTGCCCAGGAGGAAAATTACACCACACACTGTTTTTATTGACACCCCCACCCACTGGGCATGGCCTGGCACAGGAACCAGGGCAGCATGTGCCCAGCACAGGCCACACACTACTGCGTCTTCCTCAAGATATCCCTGGTGTCAAGTTCAAAGATTGAGGGCCCCTTTGTTATTGCTAGGTGACAAAACCACCAAAGACTAAGTTGCCTTCACTCTCTTCCTTCTCAGGCCTTTGGCTTGGAGCAAAATTTACACCCTCAGCTCACACAATGGTGTGGGCCAATTCCCCACAATAGGTCGCACACTGTGGCTCTTTCTCCTGAGAGCCCTGACTAGCCCACTGAGTGCTTTAGACATCTGTTTGTTCATTTCTTCCATATTTATCAAAGGTTTATTATGAACCTGGCAAACACTGCAGTGGAAAATAAAGAATTCTTCCTGGTGAGCTCCCCAAAGAGACATTTGCAAGATGCAGGAGGCAGGGAGGAAGAAGCACCATTGTGAGAGGAGAAAGAGAGCTCCCTTGAGTTGGAACAAAGCCTTGCAGCGGGCAGGGAGCTCGCTGCACTGGGAGGGGTGGAGGGCCGAGAGGACATCCCTCTACCACGCTTGTCTCCATGCAACCATCAGAGGTGACAGGCCCAGGGCAGGTGTGTGGCTGAGAAGTCAGGAGGTGGTGCTCAGCAGGAGGCAGAGGTGGCACGTGACGGCACTGACTACGACAGTCCCCAGCTGGATGGCTGGTGTCACACAAAGGAGGACCATCTTTCCACTCTGCAGCCTGGTGGGCCTGGGGTTGCTTGCTGGATCAGAATTTCCCTGCACTCGCCAGCCCACTCCCGTGGTCCCCACAGCCACCACAGCCTGAGCTCCGCGATGCAGCGCCCACACCTCTCCCGAGGCTGAGGCTCATTTCCAAGCCGTGTGCAGTCCTGAGCTCTCACACATGGCTCAGCGTACTCCTGTGTGCTCAGTGCCTGGGGCCTCCTCCGGCCCACTGGTCTCCTCCGCCCAGGGAAATGCCCCACCACACACCTTTAGCACCTGCCAGAAACAGGTCTGTGTCTCCTGCTTTCTCCTTTTCTCTCCTCCCCAGCACCTGACCTTTAGAGTTGATCACGAAATCTTATACTTTCTGCTTCCAAAGTGTACTTTGATGTTGTGATTCTTTTATGCATCAACTCGACTGGGTCACTCTCCCCACCCACCCCAGAAGGCACCCTGTAACTCTGCAGTACGGGAGCGTGTGTTTGTCATGGGCTAACTTGCCCCTTCCGCCAGGCTGCATGGTCCAGGCAGGTAGGAATCCTGTCTCCCTGTGTCCCCCTCTCAGCTCCGGCCCCCGCAGCTGACCCGCAGTCGTGCTCAGTGAGCACACGTAGGACACTCGTGATTATTGTGCACCACTTCCCAGGACGACCAAGAGGAGTCACCGGTTAAAATCTTGCAGGTTGCATGAAATAGACACCCTTGACATCCATGAGGGTCCACCGAGCCACAAGGCCTGGCAAAGGGGTCTTTCAGGTGCTTCTGATTTTTGCTGGTTTGGCCAAGTTCAGTTTGTTTGTGTGTCATGTGGTACCCGTGTGCGAGTGTGCACACACACACACACACACACACACCACAAATACCTTGTGGACATTCATTCTCATGGTACACTGAACTCTTCCATGAAATACAGCTGGCTGGACTGCGGCCAGCAGCAGAGGCCCGCATGAAGCCCTTATCTTCCCCCAGCACATCCGAGCGCTTACTCATCGCCTCTGGCCCGGAGATCTCTGCCGAGGTCAGCACTGCACCCTCATGCCCAGGGCCAGCTGAAGCCAACTGAGAGTTATCAGGCACAAATCCCCTTAGCGGGAGCCTCACTGACCTACAGAAACGCTAAGGATGCGAAATTACCTGCCTTTGCAGAGGGTTTGAGTCTGTAGATCGTCAGATCAGGAACTCAGAGGACAGAGGAAGGACCCATCCTGACATCAATCAAGTGATGGGGAGAGAAAAAAGAAAGAGAAGGATCACGGGCAATTATGAAGTGGGCCGAGTCAGCAGTGCGAACTTAGATTTGTGCTCCCCTTGGAAAGGCATCCCAGGAATCGTCTGGGCCTCAGACACGCATTTCTAACATGTTTGCCACCGAGTTCCTGACATGTAGCTCTGTTTATTCTTCAGAATTTTCTGGGGGCTGGAGAGATGGCTCAGTAGAATAAGTGCTTGAGTTCAATCCCTGGTTCACAAAAAAAAAAAAAAAAAAAAAAAAAAAAGAATTTTCTGGCTGCCAGACGAAAACAAAAAACTTGCTCTGAATGCAGTGCCTCTTAGCTCTTTGATCTCGATCCCAGTGCAGGACGGTCACCAGTATGAGGGGCAGGAATGTGCCAGCGAGGACAGAGTCCATGGCCCCTCAGGCCTGGCAGGCGCAGGTATGGTGCAAAGAGGTCACTCACCTGGGGAGGGCAGGGCCTGAAGCTCCTTCGACCCCATCTGTACTTTGGGTCCTCACTTCTTGTTGGGAGTGGTCACTCACGTCCTCAGGTGTGCAGGGTGTTACAATTCACAAAATATTTTCGTGACAATTTGTCCTTCTGTTAGCTTTAGTGCGCCACTGACACTGGAGTGAGGGCAAGTTGGGAGCATGCATCTCCATTTCTAGATTTAAAGGTGAATTTTCAGGCCAGCCAAATAGCTCAGTGGATTAAAGCACCTGCAAGAAGGTGCAGGGGCAGGGGATTCAATCCCCAGGCCTGCCGTGCCGTCCCTGTAATCCCAGCTCTTAAGAGATTATAAACAGGTGGGTCACTACGAGTCTGATCTAGTAGAGAGACCCTGAACACCCTGTAGGCCCTTCCCTAAAATACAAAAAAAGATGACTCTTCAATTAAATATTATTTTATACTTACAAACTTAAAACTTTAAAGTCTGATCAAATGAAGTGTTGGTGAGGACCCAAGGCGAGCAGGCTGCTTGGGAGCTAACCCGGTGTTCCCTAGGGCATTGGCATGCGCGTGCTTCTCTGACACAGGAAGTACCGAGCCCAAGATGTACCCCAGAGAAAGTCTCTTCCATCAGCACCGGGAAGTGCTCTAGGCTCCCAGCAGCGCGTGCACGGTAACAGCTGGAAGCCCCCCAGGCACCCGTGGGTGACACAGCAGATGATAAGTTGTGGGGCCGTCACCCAAGGTGGTGGCAGTGACCCCGCCACAGCGACATGTGGAGAGTGGCTGCCGCACTGCGCTGGCCGGGCCCGCGCTGAGGACGGAGAGGAAGCGCGAGGTCCGCTGAACGGCTCCGTCCGCGGCAGGAGCAAGCGCGGGCAGCCCGGGAGGGCAGAGCGCAGCGGAGCTTGTGGTGGAGCAAAGCACGAGGCCAGACTGCAGAATTTTAAGAAAGTGACTGAACTAATTCCAAGACAGAGTCAGCTGAGGACCAGAGGAGATGGGAGCTGGGTATCTTTCAAAATAATAGCAGTGTTCCTTCCCTAGACCAAGAGACGGGGACCCCCGAAAGTCAGAGCGCTGCCCTTGCCGTGTATGTGTACAATTCAGCCAATATATAGTAGCAAAAATATGTGACACAGAAACCAAAACTCAATTTGAAAATTCAGCTTAAAAGCTAATCTCACTGACAGTAGGAGCAAAACTTTATCAAGGACCTGAGAAACAATATAAGCAAATACTTGGGTGAGTTGAATGGAGAAAATTATAAAATTTAAGTGAAGCCGGGGAGATA